CTCTTAACAGCTGTCATTCTGTTGTCTCCAACCTGAGGCAAACTGCTAAATGCATGCATGGTTGTGTACACACAGCACACACACTCAAAATACATGCTCGTGTACAAAGGGGCTGAGGTACAGACACACTTTCTATTTGCGGATGCTTACAGCAAAATACCACATAAAACACACACAGGCACACACACACACACACACACACACCAGATATACAAAATCTTAAACAGAATCTCAAAAACAGACGTGACACTCAGACAGAAAACCATACAGGAGCCAGAACAATGGTTGTTTGTTGTATCAGACAAGAAGTCAGCAGTCCAATTCAGTCTTGTTTTTGTCAAATGAAAGGATTACTCCTACATTCTTAATCAACAAGCTTACCAAACACAACAAATCACCCACATTGCCAGATACGGCTAAAATATGTGCGCAAATGACAGCAGCACTTTCACTTTGGTGCATGTGTTGGCTGATCAAATAGAATATGAATTTCATAACTCTGATTATTTTGCTATGATTAATTAAAAGGAGCTACTCCAGGATCATTCATTTCATTTTCAAGGACAGACATAGAGGGGTTTGCAAAAGGAAATGATGAATGATAAAAATGTATCAGGCTTTTTCTTTCATACAGGAGGGATGGAATGCCTTTAATCAGATCACATTTTTAGAGTGTTGGATGGCAACGTGTTTCTGAATTTATAAGGCAGGTGAATGAGCCTTTGTTGGTCACTTGGTCAGAGGTATGGACATGTGGAAATGACACAGGGAGTAGGTTTTGAAGTATATATAGTGTAGCTCAGGACACGATGCAAAAAATATGTCATTGGCATGTATGTGTCACTAAGTCAGGTAACAGGAAAATATATATAAATATCTTATGTTTATTGTAACTGAAGTGAGTACTTATAGGAAGGACTTATATTGCTCAATAAGCAGGACCAGTGCTCTAGCTTCAATTTACACCCAGTTGCCAGTTTATTAGGTACACAAACAGCAGCTAAAACTAATGCAGAACAATTTATGAAGGTTATAAAGTTCAGTTTTTGTTGGACTGTTTCAAAGAGGTGCTGATTCAACTTGATGGGTCATTTTGGAGGCTGCTTTTTTGTGGTGTTGTGTTGAATTGTATTGTGTTATACTGAGAGATATTTCTTAGTCTACCCTCAATGATATACATGGGGTGCAAAAAAAGGAAGATTTTTTTATTTTATTTTAGGGAAATAATATTTTAGGAAGGAAAATTAAAGACTATCGTTGCAACGTTGAGGCTTGTGGACATGTTTTAAAGATGGCCAAGGTACTGCTATAGCTCTGTGTGTGTGTGTGTGTGTGTGGGCATGAGAGGTGGGGGATGTATGAGGATAGGTACGTTTTTCTTTTTTTCATTTTACTTAACCTTTATTTAACCAGGTTAGTCCCACTGAGAGCAATTTCTCGTGTGAAGAACACCTGGTCAAGAGAGTTGTGGGCAGAACACAGTTTCGAGATTTCATAGGACGCAATTTAAAAAAAAAACACATACATACATAGAAGATGGAGAGATGTGAGAAAGCAGGAACAATAGGTACGTTTCCCTCCAACATTCTTTTGAACTGAAATGTAAATATGGTGTGTTTTAAACAGCCAGATGAATGTAAATAAATGGCTAGCATAAAGTGTAAAAAAGAGAGTATTTTTTTCATTATGTACTTACTAGATGATTTTCTAAATAAAAAAAACCTTCTCTCTGAGCTGGACTTTTTGTGCAAGAATTTGTTGTTTTCAGCTTTCATTTTGAGTTTGTGTGTGTGTAAAGACATAAACCAAGCTAATAGGACTATTCTTAAAAAAAAAACAATTTCCAGTACAATGTCCTTCAAAATGTTTTGAGGAGTTTCAATCTTTCAGGGGTTACTGCACACTGACAGGCCATACATTATCAAGGCTTTCTTGGCTTCTCAATTTTCAGTCTTAGTTTCAGTTGACAGAAAAAAAAATGTTGGGATGGCAGACTGCACACTCTCCTCCTGAGTTGTCTATCTTTAATGTGTAGTGGTCTGGGTAATACAAATATACCAGGGTTATGAACTATAAGTTATGCTAGGAAGGGCAATGTGAAAAAAGAAGAAAGGGAAGAGCATTGTGGACTAAAACCAGTGCTGTGGGACATGTGGTCCTGTGTCCTGTGTGTCCCTCTTCCAGTGGTCTCCAGGGACCCGTTACTGTGGCAATGAACAGGCCTCAATGGCAGGGACAGGGGTGGGAGTGTGTGTATATACTGAATACGATGTGTGTGCGTGTGTAGATCAATTGCATGTTAACTGTTAATCTGTGTGTGTGTCGCATTGGTCCGTCTTTGTGTGTGCACACTAGCTGGGGGGAGGGTGTCCGAGGAGGCCTTTAGAAAAGCCCTAATTGCCGTTCCTCTCCTCTCCCTGGCCGTCACACCTTTCTCTGCGCTAAGACTTTCCAGCCTCATCATACACACAGGAAACACAACGTTAATTAGAGACAGCGCAACCTCTCCTAATCACACTCTTACATGACTGTGACCAAAATGTCAGTGTGTGCATTGCAGGCGTGTTTTTTTGTGTGTGTTTCTTTAGACAGAATTGGAAGTCCACTTGCCGTTTTTCACTCAGCAATAAGAGGTGGAAAAGCTCCAGCTGAGAGTACAGAGGTATAGTTATGAGGAGGGTGATATAACTAGAAACCTTCAGGCTGTATGCACGTGTTTAATACTGTACAGACGTGTGCAGTTTTAATAACATGAAACTAAACTTCCTACACCAAGAAATATATGTGCACTGTTTTATTTACACTGCGCTACGGTGTCTTACAATTTTCTAAAATTTTTCACTCTCTTGGTAAATTTATTGATGAATGTGTATTTTGTGAGTGTGCATGCACTTGCATATTTGTATGCCATCTCTGCACACAACAAAGGAAAAAAAGTGATATCTACTTATGGTGCACAAGCAAATTCTTCAAAGGAAATGCTGACCAGCAGATGAGTTGCTTCTACTGTCCGTGCTGTTCAGAGGAAAACACTGAATGTACAACATGAGTGTGTTGAAAGAAAAAAATGCTTATCATTACATTTGGCACCTTGATAAACTACTGTACTTCCAAGAGCTCTTAAAAGAGAGAGAAAGTGGGGGAAAAAGGGACAGAGCGAGATGGAAATAAAAGTAGGGAGAAAGATATGCGGATGGAGAGAGGAAGAAAGAAAGAAATGAGAACAAAAAGTGGACAGAAAGAGTACTGAAGTGGAAGATGCATCCAAGTCCGTCAGTGTGATCAGTCAGTGTATATGTAGTTAAATCATTTACTGATGTGCATCTGTGTGTTTGTGTGTGTAATGTGTAGTGTGTGTGTCGTGGCTGTGTGTCGTGTCGTGTCATAACCCGTCCTCCATTCTTCCTGCGCAGTCTCCTTGGAGACAGGCTCTTGGTGCTAGTGGGAGACCCTGCACAGACCATCATCCCCTCTTCTTCTTCTTCCTGAAAATTGTCAAATGTAAAAAATGATGATGTTTTGTGTTATAGTTAGTTGGAGAATAATATGTATATTTTATTTATGTTAAAGAACCACACTAAAACATCTTACTCCTTCATTTAAGTTCTCCAAATCCTTTTCAAATTAAAGAATGAAAGAAATCAAAGAACTGAAGTAATGGTGCTCTATGCCCAGTTGGTTGCTAGTGACATTTTTAATAATTAAAGGATCAGTCTGATGATATTCTAGATTGTTCTTACTTCTACAAATCCCATGAAGGACTAAGCTGATCCTACTAACAAGTATTGTGTATCTAAATTCTGATAAAGCTCATTCATCTATGTCATTGACCCAAACTATTTAAAACACACACTATTACATTCGGAGACAAACGTATTAACTTAATTGCAATGAACAAACTCACTGTAGTTTATCTAAGTCTATCCCATATACACTGTGAGTTGTACAGCCAGTAATGTAAGCACACCAAAGAAAATAGTCCCTAACAAATGGACTATGTACTTTAAATAACATTTGCTAAAAACTATAGTGAGCAGCTGTTTTAGGATGAGGCTTTTTAAGAATTACAGTAGATATTTTTGGCCTGTTTTTAAAGATGTAAATCTTTAGGATGAAAAAGAATGGGTCTGAGTCTTAATCTGAAGTTAAAAGCACTGTAAGAGGAACTAATGCACTGTTGGTTTTAGATTTTTAATGGGGTTGTTTGACTATAACAGATATATAGAATCTCAACAGCTTTGTTCTTTCTCATATTCAGGGAAGCCACCTCTGATGAGTTTATTTTCAATATGTTTGTACACTGAGGTCCTTGTGTAGTCATCTGTGGCTGGCAGCAACATGCTGCAGATTGAAATTGTTCTGGAGAAACTATAATTAATTCATCTGTGTATTTGTAAATTCATTTATGAATGCACACGAAATCAGTTTAACTTCAAATTCAAATAGATTTCAACACCTCCATCCTTTGCCTCTGCTGTGTGTGTGTGTGTGTGTGTGTGTGTGTGTGCGTGTGTATGCATGCACATTGCAGAACACGGCATACTCCTCTTGTTCATCATCAGTGCCCTTTCTCCTCAGTTTCCCACTGACAGATCAAACTGCTATTGCCTTATCAAACCCATCAGGCTTATGGAAACATACACCTCGTTACATTAGTTTTGAGGAAATCACAGGCTCACTGATGAAATATGCAGACAATGAAAGAGAAAGAGGGGCCGGGGCTCGGATGACATGACAGGCCATAGCCAGAGGGGCGTTGGTTAAAAATGTACAGACCTGAACAAAGCGCTAAGCAGGCTTCAACAGTCATTAAAGGCCTCTGCGTCAGATTCACACTCTCCATGTAAAGCAGCCTTCCTGTCTGTATCTATGAAGGGGGCGTGCTTCTATCTGTGTGTCTCAGAACAGAATTATGCGTACAAGTGTGTGTACGCACGCTTGTGCGGGTGTGTGCATGTGTGTCAGAGAGGTGTGAAGGTCCGTGCTGCTCACCCTTGCTTTAAGTCTGCCCTTAATGTCCCGGATGCCCCTCTTGGCATTAATCTTGGCCTAGGAGTAAAAAACAACACAAAGACACACAAAGACACAC